CAGGTGAAAAGTCACATTGTTTCAGYGTTTCTAATAATCTCACTACATTTGTCTCTTTGGTAGACTGCTGTCTGCTGGGACTCACTAGTTTTTCTGTTTAGACGGAGCAGAGGCAGAGGCAAGAGCGGGTTCATCAGGAAAGACTCGCTGGCTCCAGTTCTCCACCCTTCCCTAGCAGAGCTCACTGCCTCTTTTCGAGCCCTGAGGTGGAACCTGCTGCCTTTTAGTGTTTGATAGACTGGTGCCAAGAGGCAGACAGCATTTGCGCCCCCACAAACAGGTGAGATCTGTTTGTGGAACAGGGATCCTGGAAGGAACAAGGACCTGTGCCAACACAGGCTCCTGGGGCAGTGTTTATGCAGGCAGATGACTCGTGTCCTTAGCTCCATACAGGCAAGATCCAGTACAGGCAGTGCCCATCAGGGAGCGATTCTGTTCAGTCCCTTCCTGTTTGGCTCAGCAGGTTGCTCCTCGCCTGCCCATTTGGACTCTCAAACTTTCTCTTCCTCAATTGAAGGTGCTCGGACAGACACTGAGCCCTCTCCAAGTCCTCTCTCCACAGGAGCAAGTTAGGAGATGGGGATCAATGCTGAAACAGTTCTGCTAAATGGAGCTCATTTGTTGTTGTTGTTGTTGTTGTTGTTGTTGTTGTTGTTGCATTAGAGCACAGAGAGTGTGAGAATCTCGAGTGGCAAAGACGTGCAAGTTGCACTGAGCTGTGATAGTCACTAAAATGAGAGCTCCTTAGAGTAGGGCACTCAAGTAGAGCATTAGGGAGCTCGAGATAATTGATGACATCAGCCATGTACGTTCCCTGAACTCTGAACCTCAGAGTTTTGCATTAGCATGAGAATAGGCTTTGCAAACCCGAGTGTAACAGGGAACCTCTTGTAGGGATGGACATGTGGTGGCCTTGGGAAGGGGCTGTATCATCTTGAAGGCTCTGAAGGGAATGGCTGCCAGTGTCCCCCACAGCCACCCTCTGCTCACATGCCCCATGTCAGAGGTGCCAGGGCAACGGGCTGTGCGGGACAGAGCCACAGGCTGCAGGGTGAGACAGGGCCATGTGTCTTCCTGCTGTCTCCTGGAAGACGACGACGGAGATGAGAGCGAGCTGCTGGCCTTGGAGAGCGCACGGCGCTGCAGCTGTGCACACAGATGAGCCTCCTCCTGCGAGAGCTGCCCAGGGGCGCGCAGCTCTGCACAGGCAGGGAGCTCCAAAGCCCCCTGAGAAACCAACTGTCTCTAGGGTGATACGAGGGTGCYGCCAGGCAGCAAGGCCCAGGACACACAACTGTGGGCTGTGCTGGCTGCTGGCTGGTTGAGGCCCTCTCAGGCTGGCCCTGGARAGCAGCGGGCAAAGCCTGGAGCCCCAAGGGCTGCTGACACCTCCCCTAGCTGCTCCAGCTGTCCCCATTACCCTCCAGGCATTTTAAACCACCTCATTGCACCCCTAGTGTGATGGGGAAATCTCTGGGTGTCACGTCCTGTGTGCAGCCACAAACCGCTCTGGATCCTCACGTCTGGAGGTCACCTCAAAGCCCCGTCATGTGTTAGCTAAGCTGCGCTCAACCCATTAGCTGCCAAGGGGTATGGAAGGAATGCAGGTCAGAGACAAGTGTGCAGGTAGAGAGTGAGGAAATGTTGCCTCTCCCTCCCCTAGGAAATAGAAAATAAGCACACAGTATGATAAGAAAATATGGGTCACGATACTGGTATTTTAAATAATGTTTCTGTGGGTAACAGGCTTCTGGGGGCAAGTACAGGTCACTCCCACTATTGTCCATAGAGGTGAATAGCACGCCCTTGCACTGACGGCGAGATGTAGGAACTGGCAAAAACAAGCCAGAGCTGCAGCAGGGCGCAGTGGTCAGGGACGGGCAGTCCCACGGATCTGGTCTGGTGCCAAAGCTCCAAGGTCCYGCAGTGCACGATGCGAGGCTCCTCTGCAAGGGAATGGTGAGGGTGCAGCTCCTCACACGGGCTCAGACAGGCGAGAGCACAGCGAGCAGCAGCCTGTGAGGTGCTCTCATCCCTCCAGGGTGGTCAGCTCAGCAGCCCGGAGCCAAGAGCACGATGACAGTTCCCGGCTTTGGAGCTGGTGTGCAGAGCAGGAGAAGATGCTCTCGGTGAACCAGCTCTGCTTCCCCACACCCACCTTCTGCAGCGACAGGGACTTGCAGGCAGGGCCTAGGAGAGGGGCCTGTCCCTACAGTGACACTGGCGTGGGGTGCGGTGACCCTGCAGCCTGGCATCTTGGGGTGCCTCCCTTCTTTTGCCATGGTTTCACAATCAGTTCTAGGTGTAATGTACTCCCTGTCCTGCTGGTGGATGTCCCCTCGCTGGGTGGGGCGCAGCAGGACGCGAGGCAGGGAACTGATTTAGGCAAACCTGGATTGTGTGGATCGCAGCTTTCCCTGCGGACCAGCGAGCCTGCCTGCTGACACGCRCTGAGCTTCGCTCTGCTGCCGTGCAGAGCAGTGAGGCCATTACTGCCTTTCAGCGATGGGTTAAAAATCCTGCACTGAAGGGTGGTTCAGACAGGGAGGTGAAAACACAGACAGCACAGGGCCAATCTTTGATGTTTTGTTTGCAAGGTGAATTGTTTCGGGATGGATCTGAGGGTTTTTCCTCCATCCGGGACAAGGGTGACACACAGCTTTGGTGACATTCCATACAGCTCCCAGATCCTACCGGTTTCATTYCTGGTTGAAAAGCTGCTCCTGGCCTGGAGGTGGCCACAGGACGAGTCAGACCACTCTGAGCACAGGCCATCACTCCCACAGCAGCCTCCAAGATTGAGATGTCCTTGGTCAAACACRACAGGGAGCTGCAGCGCTCCGTGGATTTTCCTCGTTAAGAGGAGGTCTGGACGCAACACACGGGCTCAGCCTTTTCCCCTGCTCTGCTCTCGGATTCCAAGGATCCTTGTGTCCCTTTGGGCAGGCAGTGCCCAGGACACGTGGGACAATCATTCACGGTGACTGATCCTGTCTCCAGGTCACGGCCATAAGGAAGCCAGAGTTTCCCCTTCTCTGAGAGCAGTGGCCCATTTCAACTGAGGCAGCTTTGGAAAGAGAAAAGCATTCTTTTCTAGGCTGGCTTAATTGCCAAAACACCTAGGGTTGGGCCGCAGGAGGGGGTGTTTCTGGACAGCCGTGGCGATCCCAGGCGATGCTGCCCGTGGGTCCCCCAGCCGCCAGGGCAAGCGCTTGCCCCTTCCAGCTTCAGGCATTTGGCTGGGTCTCCTCCTGGGAACACAACCTCTCCCCACAGGCGCCGGCGGCTGGTCCCTCGGACAGCACGTGCACTGAGTTTGAAGGGCCAGATCGTTCTCTGCAKACATCGCTACTTCATAGCTTATCAACTAATTGTGCATGTGTGGCATCTGCATCTTAATCAGCAGGAGTCTTCTGCAGTTTATTAGCATTTTAATAGCCCCAAACACAGTCTGATATGAAATGTCTCTTCCGTAAGAGCACAGTTAGGTTAATTGCTTGCTTGCTGATGCTCTGAYGCTTAAAATCCCCCCGGACTTTATGTCCTGCCCAGTCTGGTTCTGCTGCGTGGCCTGAATTCCTGTAACCCCGAGCAGCGCTCGCGGCTCCCCGCGACCTTGCGAGGCCCCTTTTCCAGCCCCGCGTGGCTGCTCCTGCACCACCGCTTCCCACCAGCGCGCCGGCGGAGGGCCCATTCGAGCCAATKGTGCCAGGGAGGACCCGTGGCCCCCGGCACCTCGCCCGCGGCCTCGTCCTCACGTGAGCGGCTGCCYTGACACGCAGCCGGTTACGCCAAGACCCTTCCGAGGGGAAGCCGAGCGTGACTTGCCAGTGTGCTTCCCTGCTTGCCAATGGGCTCCCCGTCCTTCGCTTTTGCTCCTTTACCCCAGGAGACTTGAGCCAAGGGATAAGGGGTTATTAAGTTTATTTTTCATCTTAATTTTGGAGCTCTCTGGAACATGTTGCCTGGTATCCAGGGGGTCAGGAGGGAAGGCAAGCCACAAGCCCCCTTGGCTAGCAGATGACAAATTCTTAGGGAGACTTGTTTCACCTGGCCTGCTCCTTGCCCGGCAGACAGCTGTTCCAATAATAAAGCTGCCAGGGTGCGGGAGACTCCCATTCCCTCCCCGTTCCCTTCCCCTTCCCTTCCCGGGTCACGCTCTCCCTCCCGCGCCCCGACCGCCCCACTCAAGATGGCAGCTCCCCTCACGGCCACGGCTTCTGCCCGCGGCCCAGAGCCCCCCCCAGATGCGCTTCTCATTGGGCAGCCGCGCTGTCCATCAAGCGAGGCGGAGAGCGCTGAGTGGCTCAACGTGTCGCGGCCCCCAAAGCGGAGCCGGCGCCATAGGCTCTCGGAGGGGCCTCGTCCCGCCTCCGCGCTCGGTCGCCTAGCAACGCGAGGACTCCGGCGGCTCCGGCCGCGCCCGCGGGGCCCCGCGCCGCCCGCCGCGTCCAGCGCGGCTCGCCGCGAGGCGCCTCTGTCCCCGCGCCCCTCGGGGCCTGTGCCCTCACCCCCTCGAGGCACCCGGCCCTGCACAGAGGTGGGCCCTGGCGCCCCGCTCCTCGCTGTCGGGGTACACGCGGGTCGTCTGTCCCCCCAGGCCCTGCAGGACACAGGGGTCCCTGCAGCCTGTAGCCCCCCCCGGGGATCCCCCCCGAAGCTCGCCAAGACCCATGCCCAGATCCCAGGGACCCCCCCGCACCCTGATAACCCCAGGCCCATCCAGGGGACTCTTCCCGGCAGCTCGGTCCCTTCCCCGGCCCTAATCCCTGCAGCCAGTGATCTCCCGCTCACCCGCTCCTTAGGTGGTGCTGGGAGCTTCCTGGCACTCATCCTTCACAGGTCCTGGCTTTTCTCCCTTTCCTGTGCGTGTTCTTGGGTGTTTACCAGCCCCTCGGGACGGAGACCATCTCTGATGTGAAACCTCAGTGCCCCGTGTGCCCACACCCGGGCACAGCTCCAGGGTATCTGCATTTCAGGAATCTTATTTCAGGAATTCAGGATTTTATTGCAGGAATCTGAAACTCGCACGTTTCCCAGAATAATGCTGGTAACGCTTTCCTCAAACTTTCCTTTAGAGATAAAATCGGAGGAAGAAGAATTTGCCCCAGAAGCAGCAGAGGGACCTTGATGCACTTGGACCGACCTAGCCTTATCCTGTGAGAAGACTCTGTGTCCCTCGTGGACCTCGAAACGCTCAGCCTGGAAGTGCTGAACTGAGGCCATGGCCACAGGGAATCCAGCTGTGCTCCAGGCGTCCTCTCAGGACACGAGGGAAGGAAACAAGCCACCGATGGAAGGCATTCAGGTGCCCAAGAAAGGAGGAGTCAGATCAGATGCCATGAGGGTGCTAGGTCCAAGTCAGCCAAAACTCGATACTCACGAAACACAAAGAATCATAGCGGTCTTGGACGAGACGATCGTCAAGCTGGAACTGAGCAGTTTGATCCCCGGCATCATGGAGTCTCTGGACGGGTTTGCTGATATCCTGGGACCTGAGATCACGAGTGACCTGATCGAGCACCAGAAGCTTTTGAGCAAAATGGAGGAGCTGCTTTCCAGCTCTCAAGAAGGGCAGCCCTCACCAGCTGAGGAACAGAGGGAGAGTCTGGGCTTGCTGGAGCGACATCTGAAACGTTCTGTTAGGGACATTCTGAGGCTTCTGCTGGCCAGCCCCTCACTTTGTCAGGCTCTGCCTTATGAAGTCTGTGCAAGACAGTCGTCGGCTGAAGCGTTTATCCAAACCTTTAGGGAGTTCAGGAATTTCATGCACGAGAGACTCCTGACTAGTCCCTTAGAAGAGAAAGAGAAGATTCAGTTCATGGAGGACATTTCCCTCCGGATTAGGAGAAACACTGAAACACTCACAGCTTTAAAGGCAGAACTGGCAGCAACGATCCAGTCTCGAGATGAGAAGGTATGATATCATGGGGATGTTTTCTGACAACAGGTCAATGAACCCCAAACTGGGCTAAACTCAGAACTAATCCTCCTCTTGCAGACCCTGGACAGGAAGCGATGATGTGTAAGCCAGGTCCTAAATTAAAAGATACTTCCTTCATTGCAAAATGAATTTAAAAGGCTTATTTCATGCTTGGTTTTTAAACATAAATCTCACGTGTTTGAATCCTGTTCTCACTGACAGCTTAAATCACACTGGAAATCACCAAGCTTAAAAGGGAGATGCAGAACAGGCACAAATTGCTGCAAGTGTGTTTTGGCAGGGCCACAACGTCAGCTGCTGCTGAGTGGCTCTATTCACTGCTGATGAAATGCTGGAAGTGACTCCAGAGGGAGATTACCCTGCTTCAAATGCATTTTTAATATCTACTCTGCCTTCCCTCTCGCTTAAAGCCACCATTTCTTTGTCTTTCAATTCTAAAATACTGGCAACCGTAGAACRTGTGTGACTAATGCCTGGTAACACGGTTGCTTTGTTTCTGCACTGAAAGCAACACAGGTACAAATAAACTAGTGGACATGCCCAGGATCTTTGTGTGAGCCAGAATTTGAGAATGAATTTGAGCCCTGAACTCCTGACAAGCAATTCCTTGTTTTCCGTGTACGCTTCTCATTCTCCTTTTGGCAAGAGGGGTCAGAGGAGCAGGTCCCGTCAAATGCCGACTGCGCTGAATGGTGCTAATAGAGACAAGGGGCTGCCTTCCCAATTCCCTCCGCTCCCTGGAGATCTGTGAGTTGAGACACTTGAGATGTTTATTGCAATTTGGCAGCGTGTCTGGGGCATAATGAATGAAGCTATTTTACTGGTCCCAGCTGAGCATTTCTTTTGCAGGCAGCCCACTGAGCTGAGTCGCCAGGATTCGCCCTTTGAGCCTAATGCTGAAGCCACTGGGCTGTAGATCTGGTTCAGATGGGTCAGCAGCTGTGGAAGTTTCCTCAGATTACAGTGCCCAGGGCTCTCAGTGTGGCTCATTCAATCTCTGGCCTTATTTACACAGAGGAAGAACGAGAAGTTTCCAAAGCATCATGCACTAACCTAACTCTTTCCCCTATGTCAGAGGTCTTGTGATTATTACAAACTGTTCAGATCAGAGTTCTGCCCAAATGCAGGTCTTTTTACACAGACTGACAGAATGGTTGGGTTTGGAAGGGACCTCTAGAACCAGAGCTCCATCTCGTGCCTTATTTCTCCTGCCACAGAGGCCTCCCCTCCACTTCTTCTTTGTCTTGTTTTCTGGGTGTAGATTCACAGGAAGGACAACGTGATCAAAGATCTCAAAACCTCCYTGCAAGATGTGGCCGACAACTACAAGATCAGTGTCCAGCAGATAATGCAGGAAGCAGAAAACCAGCAAAAGGAGGAGYTGCGAGCGTGGCAGGCCAGGCGCGCGAGGCTTCAGGAGGACATGGAGCAGCTGAGAGCACAACTCCGTGCGCTTGTCCTGGAGCATCGCGAGTCGGAGCTGGCTCTCAGAAAGGTATCGTGGAAGGAGAGCTGGAGTACAGGAAGTTTAAAGCTTGCTGAACTGCTGTCAGCTCTGGCTGCTTCTGGCCGTTCTTTGGTTCCTGCTGCTTCCTGGCAGGATGCATGTGCTGTTTGTCAGAATATACCTGCAGTTTCCTACTGCTCTGCTGATTTCAGGGAAGGCAGCCCTGCAGCGACATGGAGGGGGCAGCACCGTCACWAACCCTCCTTTCCACCCCGCCTGCCCGCGTAGCTCTGAGGACAGCGCTGCACGCTGGTGAGGCCGAGCTCTGCTCGGCATTCACAGCAGCAAGGGAACCTCGCACCGAGCAGGCGAGGCGGATGTTAAGAAACAAGGGAGTTGGCATGGGCTAAACAGAGCAAACATAAAATTGGCTGTATATAAAGCCAGCTTTTGTAGCTTATTGTTTGTTGTGCTCATGCTGAATGCAGCTGGCCTTGGAAGCTAAGCACTTCCAGTCTGACTGGTACTTTGCTAAGAGACACAGTCCAAGGAGACATGGCCTAATCAAATGAAAGGGAAGTGTGATTTATCACAGTGAGAAAAGGAGAAATAAGAGCAGCAGACAGGCTCAGGTCTCTGTGTCGACAAGTATGGCCTGAGCATCTTGGTGATATTTGCCAGTTACCAGCCTGAAGCTAGAAAAAGAACAGATTTTCCCCTCCTTTTACCCCTATTTGGTGTTTGCTGCAAGCAGGCGCTGACCTCCTGTGCACCACACAGCACATGCCCGTGCATCTTTCACTCTTTTAGTTCAATAACTGCACAACCCTGGCAGAACGAACCAGCAGTGGGGCCGGGCAGTGACAAAGGGTCACAGGACAGGGGCTGTGGGTCACTTGTTCACCTCAGTCTAGTGCTCAGGCAGARAGAGAGAGATTTACTGATCACAGGGGCCTCCTTTCCCCCTCCTCAGCCCATGCTTTAGCCTTGGGTGACTCAAGACATTTTTGCACTTTTGRTATAAACAGTTGGGACATGCCAGCTCTGCCTTCTTGATGGTCTGGAAGCCCTTGGGACATCCTGAGCCGGTGTCACACAGGACATTGTGTGTTCTTTGTGGTGGGCTCTAGCTGATCCTACTCTTGGTGATTTCATGGAGCGTGAATGCAGCAGCTGGGGTAAATTGGCCATACCAGGTCATACTGCAGGGGCAAGCTACTGCTAAACAGATTTGTAGCTAGGAATCTCTCTTCATTTTAAGAAGCTCCATCTGTTGASTCTTTTCTGTCCAACTTTCATGTTTAGCAGCTCCTGAGTTTTTCAATCTGAGGGTGGTTTCCCAAGTTTGTTGATGACTTAACTCATTCCACCAGCTGTGTTCATCTCCTGCATCAGGGCACACCGTGCAGATGTGTCTCAGTACTCTGCCCTCACCCAGGCCCGTGCTGTAAACCAAATATGGCCTTTTTGGCCTCAGGGAGAACAGGCTCAACCCAAGAGAATYCCCAAGGTCGGGGCAAAATATGTCAGCTAGACGTGATGTGCCAGGAGGAGGAGGTGTTTCACTGTTTTCTAACTCAGGTGATTTTTCACCARGCTTCAGGTGCCTGCAAGTAACATATCCTGTTGTTTGTTTCAGAAGAAGTGCAAAGTAGAGATGGAAATTGAGAAGTGGATCCAGAAATATGATGCGGACATGGGGGAAAAACAGGTATCCTCTTTAAGGTACTTGGCCCTTCCCCGAGGTAGATCACCGTGCAGACAGATGTGTGGGTCACACACAGGAGGGGATGGAACTGAGGGACAATCTACCACCCATATTCCCAAATATTCCTTTGTCCTACTTAGGTGTGCAGTTCTCTGCTAAATCCCGCAGTATTTGGAGGTTGATGGTTGCTTCCAGTCTGTCAGACATGCCGACCTGCTGTTAGAGAACAGGCCTTTCACYTTTGCTTCAATCCTCAATCTGGTTCGTCCTGTCTCGTGTCCAAATCATGCTCCTGTTTTTTTATTTTTCCCAGCCCACTTGAGAGAGACTTGTGGACTTAACAGCCTGCATACCCCTGTCTTGGTATCCAAATTACCTGTAGCAAGCTGAGAATCAGCATCTCTTAACCTCTCCTTTGAGAAGGTTCATTCTCATACCCTTTTTTTATGAAGGTGGACAAAAGCCGCTGGATTGTGAAGGGAGGGGCCTAAAAGTTCGCAGTGAGCAAGAATCCCTACCTGGCCCTGGTTTTAACAGTGTTGTGCTATTTTGACTTCCTATTTACCGAATACTTGGAGCCCTGTGTTCCCCTAGCCCTCCTCCTCCATGGGTCTTACCCTAATGCGTTAGGAAGGGAATAAACTGCGGTGCTTGTGGTTGCACCGTGAAAACTGTGTGTCCTTGGCCCTCTGCGTGCTGACACAGTCCAGCTCTTCTCGGGCACCCAGCTGGAAGCAGCATGTGAGGAGGGCCTCAGTGCCACTTTGCAGCAAAGCGGGTAGCGTGGGCTCAGCTTGATCCCACCTGCTGTGGTTTTTTGCTCTCAGTATAGGCAGGGCAGGCTGTATGGACAGGACAATGCTCATTGCCTGCTCAGAGTGCCCAGGGTGAAGGGGGTTTGCAACATGGAGAATTAGGAGACGGTTTTCAAAGGAGCTTGGAAGATACTCAGACTTGGCATCTCTTGAAATCCCCTGGGCACTGGGCATACAGTTACTGCTTGGTCCCTTTGAAAAGGCCCCACTCAGCTGCTAGTTGTGGTTCTCTCTAGATTTGGGATGGTAAAAAGATCTTTAATTAGGGCTGTACTGGGAGTTGTTGTTGAATGCTCTCAAAATTCAACCTGTATCTACTGTCTTGCCAGGCTGAATATGAGGAGCTTTATGCTCTCTACTCTGAGGAGAAGGCCCAGGTGTCCCTGCTGCAGGAGAAACATGACGTGCTTATCCAGGAGTACTCTCAGATTGCGGAGGAGCGCAGTGTGCGTCAGCAGAAGCAAAAACAGGATTCGGATGAGTTGGTCACCATGACCATTGCTGCCACCCGCATCCAGGCCTTCTGGAGGGGATACTTGGTTCGGTCGCTCTTCAAGACAAAAAGGAAGAAGAAAAAGAAGGGAGGGGGCAAGAACTTCAACAGATAAGCACAAAGATCTATTCTCTCTCCTCTGTTCTTTYCTCCTGGCAAAGCTGCTGCCTCCCCTGGCTCTTCTGGATAAAAACRTTAGCTGAGAGAGCTTTTGCAGTGAGGTCCAAGCTGTCCATGGCTGGGGTTGGCTCTCAGAGTGAGACTACATCAACAAAGTGGCATAAAGGCGTGTCTCAGCATTTAGCTTTAGCCCCCTTGCCTTTGAAAAGGGGAGGATGTCTCCTGCTACAGGGACTGTRCCAAGCAGGAGTGCAGATTGCTGACTTGGTCTCTTGGGTCCCATGCCCAAATTGTGCTTTTGTGTCAGGGCCTGATTCTTTTGATACTAAAGGTGTCAATAAAATCATTCCTGGAGGCAGAATGAAGTCCTGTGCCTGACTTGGTTTCTCCTTGTGTGGATTTGAGAGACAATTTCATTTTGAGGGATTTTTTTTCCTCCTAGTTGGCAGCCACAAGAAATTTCAAGGGTCATGGATACTTTTTCATTAGGGTGTCAGTACCCSTGTGGGCAGGCTGGGGTGCATTTACTTCAAGAGAGACATCTCATTTCCAGAGCAGCCTGGGCACCCATAGCTTTTGAGTTCCTACCAAGAGAAGGTCTGGACATGCGTTTAGAGAAGCTCCTCTGTTGCAGGGGCTGCTCAATGCTCAGATTGATGCCCTTCTGTCTTAGGGTTGTCTGAAAAGGATCAGTTGTCTGCAGATGGTGGAGCCTACCTGGAGAGGCGCCCAGCTGGCTGGCAGGCAGGAACACCCGCTGCAGTGAGCACACCAGGCCTCAGATTCCAAATCCAACCATTTCCAGGTGTAGGACTTGCCCTTAGGATCCATTTCAAAGTCTGCTAGAGTCAGAGATGTTGGAGCTTGTGGATTAAGGTCCCTCAGGGGCAACTTCTTAGAATGGGAAGAAATACTTGACAGGTTTGAGGGCRTAGAGGAAAGGCTCCAAAGCAGTAGAGAGAGTCCAGCTAGTCCTTCATCCAAGGACCTTCCCAGCCCAGACTTGACTCCCAGGCTTGGAGTCAGCCAGGGACAGGCTGCAGTAGGATGGAGTGTGACTTTTTGATCTTTATGAAGAAACAAGGAGAGGATGCACAGACACATCCTGACTAACGCRGCCCTGGGCGCAGCCCCCCTGCTGTGTTGTGAGCCCCTGGCCCTGCTCTCCCACCAGACTGGCCTCTGCCTGCGGGGCTCCCATCTGGGAAAGCAGAGGAGAGAAGCTGCAGCAACGCCGGCCGTCTGGCAGAGCGCAGCGCGGCGACTTGCTGGCCTTCGCTCCCCTGGATTTAGTCATTTTCTTAGGGGTGCTCTCAGGCGTGTATGCAGTGGATGCCACAGATAGGCTCCAAATCCAGGGTCTCCAGGATCTTATCCACCCGGGAGGGGCAAGGCCTGGCAGTGCAGAGCGAACCCTTGCAGGGCAGCCAAACCCCGGCTCRAGGGTGCAGGATGTCCAGGGCTCGACCCCACAGCCGCTTCAGCCCTTGTGCTGTTTTCCTTTCTTCCCCAGGTTACCCTCTTTGTGTGGGGGATGTTGTATCAAGAGGGGCAGCCAGGGTAACCACAGTCTCCTCAGGCTGGTGGTCCTCAGCCCATGGTCCTCGGGTGACCACCCGGAGAGCTAGCTGGCAGTTTCCGTATTGCAGGGGCCCCGGAGCTGCTCCCGGAGCRCAGCCAAGGCCCCTGCTGCCCAGGCCCCTCGGGAGCACGGGGCACCCTGAGCAGGAGCTCCCGGCTGCGCTGGGGTTGATCCCTGCTCCTTCGCTGCGGCCTTGGGGCAGGGTAACCGACACCGGCCGCCGGCTGAGAGGCACAGCCGGCTTCCTGGGAGGCCAGCGGCTACTGTTACAAGCAGCGCTACCAGAGCGCTTACGTTTTCTYGTGCCTCATCTGAAGTCTCTTCTTGCCTCTCTTGTTACCGCTGGGAACTAAATCTTCAGCTGTGCGAGGTCACAGGGYGAGCGGACGGAGCCGGGTTCGGTGCTCAAGGAATTGGGTCCCATGGGGCCGCCTGCCATGGCACCAAACCYGGCTCCATCCGCTCACGTCACTGCCTGTGTGATCCCCGTGGTGGTGGGACCCTGGTGGCAGTGAGGCCACCCATCAGTGCTGTCCCTCAAGGTGGTGAGGCCGCATGATGATGGTGGGAGTCTTGTGGCAGAGGGGTCCCTGTGGCATTGGGACCTCCACAACCATGAGACCCTGGCAGTGGACTCCCCACGGCAGTGGGAACCACATGGCAGTGATGCTGTTTGGCAGCAGGACCCCAATGGCAGTGGGTCCCTGTGGTGGAGGGTCCCTGTGGAGGGGAGTTCATATGGCACTGGGTAGCAGGTCCTCATAGTAGTGGGAGCCCCATAGGGTGGGACCCCTGTGGCAGAATGGCCCCTGTGGAAGAAGGTCCCCATGGTGGAGTGACTGTATGGTGGTGGGACTCCCAAGACAGTGAGTCCCCATGGTGGTGGATCTGTCAGGTGGCAGGAGAGAGTGGTGGTGAGTCCCTGTGAGTTCCCGTGGCAGTGGGTTCCTGTGGTGTTTGGACTCCTGTGGCAGTGGGACTCGCATGGAGGTCGTTGTTGTTGGTGGTGGTGGGATCCTGGTGCTGGTGGATCTTAGCAGCAGCACGTCCCTCTGACAGTGGGACATTTGTAGCCATAGAATCCCATGTCAGAGGGTCCTGATGAAGGTAGGTCTTGGTGTTGGTGGGTCCTGGTGGCATTGAGTCCCAGTGACAGTGGGATAGTAGTGGCAGAAGGTCCCAGTGAAGGTGGGACCTGGTGGTGCTGGGTCCCTGTGACASAGGGTACTGATGAAGATTGGTTCCAGCAGTGGGGAGTTCTTCATGGCAGTGGATCCTGGTGGTGGTAGGTCCCAGTGGCAGAGGGTCCTGGTGGTAATGGGTCCTGGTGGCTGTGGGATCCCCATGGAAGAAGGTCCTGGTGAAGATGGGTCCTGGTGATACTGGGTCTCTGTGGCATCGTGTCCTGTTAAGTGTGGGTTCCCCAAGACAGGAGTCCAAGTGGCTGTGGGATCCCCATGCCAGAGGGTCCTGTTGAAGGTGTATTGTGCTGGCAGTGGCTCCCCCGTAGCTGAGGGTCCTGGTGGTGGTGGGTCCTGGTGGTGGTGGGTCTCAGTGACTGAGAGATCCCCGTGGCAGAGGGTCCCAGTGGTGGTGGGTCCCAGTTGCCAGGGATCCCCATGGCAGGGGGCTCAGTGATGGGGAGTCCCAGCTGCAGGGGATCTTGGCAGTGGTGGGTCTCCATGGTGGAGGATCTCCGTGGCAGGGAGTTCCCATGGCAGGGGGTCCTGCTGATGGAGGGTCCTCATGGCTGGGGGTCCCGGTGATGGGGAGTCCCAGCTGCAGGGGGTAGCCATGGCAAGGGGTGCTAGTGCGCAGAAAAATCTCGCTGTCCAGAACTGAATGTCCAGAAGGAGACAGAGGAGACCCAMAACTTTATTYGAACAAAGGGRGAGCCCACYGGGCACATCCCTGTGGGGTCTCTCAGGTTGCCCRGGCCCGCAGCCCCCCTTTTATCCTAATCTCCCGGCCGCGGTGCCCTCTCCKTTTCCCCATTAGCCAAGCGACTCAGGAGTCGCAGCCTGCCCGGCTGCCTGCACCCAGCTCGGTGCCTCCCGCACGTGTTGGCACCTTGGGTCACTTGACTCCGTTGGGACCCCCTCGCTCCAGGCTCCCCGCAGTCACTCCCC